AATCAGAGAAGAAATAAAGGTCTTATTGTGACCAACAGAACTAGATTCAGAAAAAAATCCTTTTTTAGCAAGGTAGATGAGTTTTGTTTAAGAAAAAGTCTAAAAGAAAATATTACTACTAGTTAGACTTGCTTTTGCTTCACTTGAGTAGAAGTCTAATCTATGTGTCTGTATTATCAGTTACCAAGAAATGGGAAAACATGAGATGCACATGTGACACTAAATTGTGACACCACTCATTTTGCTCTCAAAAAATGAAAATTATAAGTAAAAAAAGTATCTGAGAGGAAAAACATTTTGGCATAGTATTAATTGAAAAGTTAAAGTGATGGGGAAGGGAAAAGACTCATTCTTTTGTTCATCTAGAACTAAAGTAAAAGGTAACTAATTAGTTATTAAACAGCAACTATAATTTTGTTTGCAGTCTTCTCATCTGTAAGCAAATCAAATACAGTATCAAGAGTTTGTTTGATCAAATGATTTTTGTTCTATACCTCAACCTTTAAAAAAAAAATCAAAGAATTATACAATTACAAAAAGATTTGGAACTTTCACCTGAATGCATCTCTCTGTTATAAAAAGACCTTAAGAAAGGAAAAACACTCACAATTCTTCAGCGCCTGCCTGTCTTTTAAACCCAGGAAATTCCTTTACGCCCCCTCCTCATTCTGGTCAGCCAGAACTGTAGGTGTGCCAGTCCACTCATTCATTTACCAGTAATATACTATGCTAACACTATTTACATTTAAAGCTGATTTTTGTTAGACTATTTCAAGTTCCAAACTTACTTGGTCAGAGTGGAATTTACAAATAATTGATTAAACACTATGTTGTCATTCTCTCCACTCAATTTTGGTGATGCAACCATTATGGAAAACAATAGCAATTCCTAAAAAAATTAAAAATAGAAATACAATATGATCTAGCAATTCTACTTCTGGGTATATATCCAAAAGAATTGAGAACAGGGACTTAAAGAGATATTTGAACACCCATATAGAACATTAATGATTCACAATAGCCAAAACGTGGGGGAAAAGTGTCCACTGGCAGATGAATGGATCAACAAAATATGGTACATACACAAAATGGAATATTATTAATATTCCATTATATTCCATATTCCATTATATTATTCCATATATTCAATAATATTAGAAAGGAAGGAAATCCTGACACATGCTACAACATGTATGAATATTGGGGCCATTATTCTAAGTGAAATAAATAAGTCACAAAAGAACATATACTATATGATTCCACTTATCTAAAGTACCTAGAGCATTCACATTCACAGAGACAGAAAGAATGGTGGTTGCCAGAGGCTGGAGAGAAGGAAGAATGGGAAGTTATTTAATAGAAACAGTTACAGTTTTGCAAGACAAAAAGAGTTCTGAATATGGCTGGTTGCACAACTGTGATCATACTTAAAGCCACTGAACTGTCATCCACGCATCTATATCTCAAATCTCTTAACTTGAAAATAGTTAAGATGGCAAGTTTTATCTTATGCATATTTCACCACAATTTAACATTTTTTCCAATTGGTGGCTACTTTTACTTGGCGGGAGGAGGGGGTGAAATCTTTTAGAAGACAATTCGAAATATATTTGCTTTGTAATTAGTTCACTCACCTACAAAATCTCAAATCTATTCCATTAAATGTGAGCTGTAATCTTTCATCCACTACTTATCCTATTAAAAGAAACCAGGCAATTTTTTAAAATTATAGCCTAAGACTTGGAATGTAGATGCTTGAATGACACATGCTTCTTCTATAACTGGTCAAATCAATTTCCCTACCCAAAACTGAACATAGTAAAATTATGTTCTATTTACCTCATATGATTGTTAGCCACCCCTCCACTGACTTCACCAGAAGTCCTTTCTTTATTAAGTTTAAATATTTAGAGAGAATGCAAAATCCTTCTCAAGAACTTTCCCACATTTGGACATCGTATTTATAAGAACCTATTATCCAGCAATAATCAATGTCATAAACTTAATTATTTTAAATTTTAGTCACATTTTAAAATCATGTCCTTGTCTACAACGGCAGCAATGAGCTCAAAACTATTATTAATTTTCACAACCATATGAAATAAACAGAACATAATTACACTATGTTCACTTTTGCTGCGGAAATCAATTTGTCCAGTTACAGAAGAAGCCAGTATCATCCACGCATCTATATCTCAAATCTCAAGCTATAATTTTCAAAATAAATTGACTGGTTTCTGGTAACTGCATAAACGCTATTTTTTAGGTTAATTCTATAAAACTTTTACATAATATTATTTAAAAGAAAAATTGTTATTTTTGTTTTATATTGGAGACAGCTGATTTCCCTGGAGAAGGGAATGGCAACCCACTCCAGCATTCTTCCCTGGAGAATCCCATGGACAGAGGAGCCTAGAGGGCTACAGTCCATGGGGTCGCAAAGAATCGGACAAGACTGAGCAACTAACACACACACGCACAACTGATTTAAAATGCTGTCTTAGTTTTAGGTGTACAGCACAGTGAAGAATAATCCATTTTAAAACCAAGTCCACTGGAGTAAACTGATCTGGAATCATCATTTGCAAGAGGAATACAAGGTTCCTAAAATACACAAAAAGCTAATGTGCTTGTGTATGGTTTTCTAAATAAGTTTATTCTACAATAATATTCTCCTGCCTATGTGATAATATGAAATTAACTCTCACCATTTGGCAAACAATTATTTGATGCAGATGCCATAAGCTTTTTTTTTTCCATTTGTAAACAATTGTTCACAGCATTGCCATTTGTTTGAAGAAAAAAACTTACCAGAATGTTTTCATGTGCTCAAAATAAAATCTGAAAAGCTTGTCAGGAAATTTTACTTTATCTCTGAATACAAGAATTCTAAATTTCTGGACCAAAACCAATACATCTAAGCATAATAATTGTCACAAATAATGAGAGAAAACAGCTACAAGTTATAATGAGTATCCTTTTGTTGTAGTCTAAACTATCCTTTTTGTTGTAGTCTAAAGCCATTCCTACCAGAGCAGAACAATTTTACAAAAGGATAAAACCATTTCTAGATATATAGAGTGCTTTGTCACATAATCATATTCCACATTAAGTAAAAGACTGAATTAGAGAATGAAAAAAGGTGAAATTAGGCAGAAAATCTCAGGCCAATTCTAATCCTACAAAGCACCAAAAGCTTGTGGTCAACTTTTATTTTCAGAACCTCTTTCTGAGTTTGAAAGTTACAGTATAATGAAATGCAGATACATGCATTTTCCTAATGTAGCAGGTATCACTTAAATAATTAAAAGAGCAAACTCTGGAAATGGACATCAGAATATAAAGTTGTAAGAATAAGTAACTTTAAAAATCAAAGAAAGAAAAGCCCTACAAAATATCAGTAAGAAAAAATACTGCCTATTAAGCTAATGTTAGACCATATGCAATAATGACAGCATTAAAGGAAGGAAATGTCTGCCTATATGTAACTGAAGCTTCTAAGTTGATGCCAAAATAAATGATTAAAAACATCTCACTACAACATTTTCTTCAAACATCAAAAGACAAAAGTGGTGCTTACAGGGTATTCTAACTCCAAGTGCTTCATGAAGCATACAGCTCTACTTTCAAAGGATCTCCCTAAAACAATTATATGACAGTGGCACTACAGTTGGATTCATTAAGAAATACTCTTAGCTAATCCTTTAAATTATTCCTGGAGAAAGAACACCAACCAAGTAATTCAAATCTGTAGAGGAAGGGAGTCCAAAAGCATGAATTGGTCATTTACCCGACTTGTGAATTCACAGCTTGTAAATTCACTTTGATATATACACTCCTCATCCTCCTATACCCAAAGATTCTAATAAGGTATCAAAGTCTCAAATGTTTATTTCTCCTTCAAAACCAGCACAATACCCTGCTACCCTTACCACCTCATCATTCTTTTTAACTCTCCCCTTAATACACCACACCCACAACACCACACCCACACTCCACACAGCACACTCTCCTCATAAACAACCCAAACTCCTCACCCAAAGCACTTCATACTTAGAAGCCCCACATTTAATACCTTCAAACTCTACGCTCTCTTCATATAATACAAGAAACAATACACAGTCCACACACAAAACAACCCAACCCAATACCACCTCACCCTATAAACCACATTCAAACCGTACATAACACATTCTACACACCCCCCAACATAACATAGTCCCCCACAGTTCACAACACACACACATCCCAAGCCAGGTACTGTATAAAAAAACCTAAACCACATAGCACTGCTGTGCTCAAACAAACGCTGGGAAGAGGCCACCCTTTGGGCACTGGGAAGCAACGAGGCTGGAGATGGGAGGATAATTGGGCCCAATACTTCACCTGAAAATCCGCCAGGATCATCTCCCGGTCCATGTTGGACGTCATGGCGGCCGCCGAGTTCCGCGGCTCCGGGAGCGAAACGCGCACCTGGGAGGGAGACTGCGCCTCCTGCGGCCGTCGCCGCCGCCGCCGCCGCCGCCGGGCGCCGAAGGGCTGGCGGGCGAGCCGGCGGGCGGGCCGGCGGGCCGGCGGGAGGGGCAGTGCGGGAGGCTAGGCGCTCATGCACTCGGTAACCTTCAGGCGCCTGGGCCGCCCGCCTGTGCCCAGTAGAGCCCGCTCCGCAGCCGCCGAGACACGGAGCTTGGTAAGGATGTGGGTCCGGTCTTACTGTCGCCGGCCAGGATGAAGGCAGGTTGCGACAGCGCGCACCCGGCTCTCTTCAGCGGCGGGGAGACCGGCGGGGGCGGAGAAAGCGAGCGAAAAAGCAGGCGGGCAAACGCCACGGCCGCCTCCGCCTCCTCCGCTTCCTCCCAGGCCGCCGCCTCCGCCCCTGGTTGGCCAGAGCCAAGGCTGTCGCACATTTTGCCTGTCATAGAGGTCGCAAAGCGCCGCTTTGCGGCTGCCACGTGACTGCTCTCCTGTCAAGCGCTGGGCGCGCGACTACCCGGCGGGGATCTGCGCGCGGCTGGCGGAGACTCCAGCCTGAAACTGCGGGAGCTTGGAGTCCCGCAACAGGTTTTTCCGGTTTGAATTAAGCAAAGGCCTGAGGTACCGCCTCCCCCTGGTTGGGCTGGCAATCAGTTTCTGCTCCTTACGTTGTTATATAGTAGCATACATACACGTCAAGCCTCACAAACCAACTCAGCACAGTCACAACCCGTCTGACAGCATTTCATAAATGTACATTTTCTCTAACAAATGTTAGTTTCACTAAAGTACAACTTCATATACAGTCTTTTACGTCAACCTGTGAAAACCCACTTACACACTGTCACACTCGATCCCAAGCCCTGACGCTTGCATCCTCAGACATAATGTATAAAAGAGGACGCCTTGCATCCTCAGACATAATTAACAAGGAGTAAGAAATAACCAGATTCCCACGGTAGTTATGGGGCAGACATGGAAGCTGAGAAAGGTGAGAATATCCATCCCAAGACAAAGATGATCAGGCTTTGAGCCAAAAATAGACAAAGACTATGTACAGTGAAGTGTGATAGTTTGTAATTGTCGCTGGAGGAAGAGTGACAGTAGAACTGGTTCAACTTTGACTTGGGAAGATAACATCTTCTGGATTGAAGTAGAGCTTGTATTTGCCTTGGAAAGTATATAAAATCCTGAAAATGTAAAGTAAGATTGATAATTTTGTGCTGTAGAGTTAAAATAGATAATAATTTAATCACCATATAGAATCAAGGCCTAGATTTTTGTATTCCCTGAACACGAAGAGCACTGTGGTGTTCCAAAGATCTAGGTTTATTCTGTGGGTTTTTTTCTTTAAATGAAAATAGTCTGGCCTACAATTCTCAAGTAATAGTGTGTATTTAGACCAGAATTAGCTAGATAAGGAATAGAACCCTCCATAGTCATATGAATTGAAGGGTTTCCTGGTTAATTGCCACCCACCAAGGAAGTAATTCCAAGATAAAGCATGAATGTGAATCATGAGGTGAAACATACTACCAGCAATTTAAGTCTGGCAATTCACTTGTCCCATTCATATATGTCGTTCTCAGCACAAGGCAAGTGAGCAAATCCTGCAAAGTTGAGATTTTTCTCCGTGATGAAATGTGTATCTGAGCCAATTCAAACCCAGTATTGCTCTCCTTCTCCCTCCCTTCTCTCCATCTGGAAATTAAAAGAATGTGGTAATGTAGAAACCGGGTAAGAATACACTAAACATTCAGGAATATGGTTTCTAGTACTGCTTTCCCAACCAATTAGTTAGGGGAAACTGGATGGGTCACTTAGACTCTCTGACTTCAGCTTCTGACATGACTATTTAGGTGATGAGAAAACAATTATGAAAATGCATGGAAGCATAAAATACTTTCACAAAACAAGCATAGACTGCTTAGCACTACTAGGCTTGAGTTCTAGTTCTGCCCCTTGACAAGAACAAAAAACTTCTCTGAGTCTCAATTTATTTCTAAAATGGGGCTCATAAAACTTACTTCATAAGGTGATTGTGAATATTGAGTGTATAATGCTTGTAAAATCTTTTCAGAAACCTTAAAGCTGTCCAAACATATTAGTTGCTATTTACTTGTATATATGCATGTGCACTAAGTCGCTTCAGTCATGTCTGACTCTTCGCGACCCCACAGACTGCAGCCCGCCAGGCTCCTGCAGGCAAGAATACTGAAATGGTTGCAATGCCCTCCTCCAGTATTACTTGTACACCAGTTCCTAAGTGCTTTTCTCAGGATAATCTTTCATAAAACTTAAGCCAACAAGGATTCTCTTCCTTTCTAATCACTGCTCTATGATCTTTACAACACAATTTAATACTCTGTAATTAAACTCTGTAATTTTTTTGTCTGTTTCATCTATGCATTTTTTAATATTTATTTTTATTTGTTTATTTGGCTCCTCCAGGTCTTAGTTGCAGCATGTGGGATGTAGTTCTCGATCAGGGATCAAACCAGGCCTCTACATTGGGAGCTCGGAGTCTTGACCACCAGGGAAGGCCCTATGCATGTTTTAATCCCTCCTCAAAGTCTGAATGTTCTTGAGATTATAAGCCGTTTCATTCCATGTGTTTTTATATTCACCATAGTTCATTCATGGCAAAGTCTTGGGCATATAACAACCAAAGCTTTTGAATTTATTAATTTTTATTGGATGTCTAGTATGTACAGGTATTTTACACATTTTATCTCATTTAATGCTTACAACAGAATAAACAGATAAAAAACTGCTCTGAGAAGTTAAGAATGTGCCCAAAGTCATGCTATACAGTGAGGCTAGGTCAAAACTATTGCTCTTTCCACTTACCCTGTTGCTTCCCTGCATTTTACCCTCCATAGTGTATAGTTTCTGAAGAGATTGATTCTTCTCTATGACCTAATTATTCATGACTGGAGATCCAGAGTAATTTTCTACTATAAAAATAAATGCTGAATTAATAGAAAATTCATTTTGCCAGAATTCCTTCCTTAAAACAAACAATTTCATTGCAGTGTCACAGACTAAGACAATAAAAATGTATAGATTCTCTGTCCATAAGCATGAGCAAAGAAAAATGGTTTTACTATATCCATTCTCTTAGTTCTACTGCATTAACTCATGGAGCTCAGTCTAATTCAAATAAAGATCTTTTTCTAGAATCTCCATGTTCTTTGATCTTACCATTCGTACTTTCAAAAGGAAGTTTTATTTCATATTTTTTGAAATATATATATAATATAGTCTACTTGTAGATATTTTGCTAAATTTTTAGTTGTAAAAATTTTCAATTTATCTAATACTTGCAAACATAGTACAGAATGCTCCTTTAATCCAGCATCCTCTAATGTTACTGTCTTACACAACCATGGTACTGCTATCAAAACTAAGAAATTAACATTGGCATAATACTGTTATGTTTCAGAGACTCTATTTAGATTTTTACATTAATGTACTTTTTCTGTTCCAGGGTCCAAACCAGAATTCCACACTACATTTAGTGGTTCTGTTTCCTTGGCTTCTTACAATTGTTGACAATTACTCAGTCTTGACTTTTGAAGAATAGTGGTCAGGAACTTTATAAATGTCCCTCAGTTTGGGTTTGTCTTATAATGTCTTCTCAGAATTATGCTGAGTTTATGGATTCAGGGGAGACCATAAACATGATATGTCCTCATCACATCATATCAGGGACACATGATATCAACATGACTTATTATTGGGGGTGTTAACCTTGATCTTTCAATTAAGTTAATGAAGTTTTTAAACTGCTACTCAATTATAGATCATGAGATTAATGCTACTACAGTTAGATCCACACTCAAGTAATCAAAAACATATTACATATAATGATTTAATGTTCCTTAGGACACTAGTGCCTGATCCTGTCTGGTTTTATTTTTCTTTTTTTTAAATGTATGATTACAACTTATTACAGAGAAAGGGGAAAGGATACAGGCCAAAACCAGCCAATGGAAGAAGCATTTAGAGAAAAATCTCGAAGGGTTCCGAACACAAAGCTCCCAGGGTCCTGGTCTCTGAAGTAATGGACAAGGCCTAACATTTGGGAACCCAAGATCTGAGTTCAAATCTTATATCCACTATTTACTGGCCTTAGTCACAATTTCTATAAGTCTCAATTCCTTCACCTGAAAAGAATGAGGGGATAGTTATATTTACCTCCCAGAGGTGTTGTAAAGATTAAATAATGTGTACATTGTATGTTATAACCAGGAAGCACTACACAAATATTAATCATTGCTATTAAACTTTTGAGTTGCTTACTGTGCATTTTTTTCTCACTTTACAAAAAGACTTCCATAAGTGGTATGAGAACCCATATGAAAAAGCCTACTGAATCTCAGAAATAAAATGCCAAATGCCATTTCATTATGCCACAATAATGAAATGATGAAAAGTTCCCCTGAGTGTACCAACCTGTTTCCTACCTCCCTTGGATCTATAAAAATAACAAAAGGAAGATTTTGAAACTATGTAAAGAAATTGTACATACCATATACACATAACCATAAGTTACTCATTGAGAAACTATGCATACTTAAGTCAAAGAGGGGAAAGCACAAAATAATTTGATTATAGTCTTTCTATAATCCCTTTAAAATAAGTATGAGCTGCTGAAAAGAAAAAGATTTCCATGACTATTTGTATTTTATACCCAACTAAAAGGCTCTATTTCAGTGTTTGAGATATGTGCCATTATTGTGTTAAAAGACAAACTACTATTTTCAATATAGCAGATACTTAACTGTAAATCTTTCTTGTATACCATGTTAGAATGTAAGCTTGTTGACAGCAGAGATACTCACCTTTGAATCTATTTCAGTGAACTAGCAGTCAACATGAGATTTTCACTGAGGGTCCTCTGTAGTCTTACTTATGCTTTATGAACTAAGATTGTAACTTCTGTACCTCTGTGCTGCCAGTTCTGGGTTATACGATAAGCAAACAAAGCATATGCTTTAGGACACCAGCAAAGCCAAAGTGAAAAAAAACAAACAACTTCCTTAAATTGTTTAATATTTCAGCAAAATCACTAAAGTAGTCAAGATGGGAAAAGTCAGAACCTTGTTGGACTTCTTCACACTTATTTTTTGGTCTTGTATTATTTTTGTTTACACATTAGGTGAATTGGTGAGACATCAAAATCTTTTCAGTGCTTAAGATCTCCAGAAGTCTTAATCCAGCTCTGTAGCCATCTTAAATTACCCTAAGTTTTATTTCTTGTTATTTAGCAAAAAGAATTTCATGAAAATTATAACCCATGTATACCTATACTTTACATGAATACAATTTAAGAATCTTCATTACACTGTCCTCTCTTAGAAACCATAATAAATGCTAGACAGAAACTCTCATAAGTTGTACTAATGCCAGTTATCTTTTATCAGCCAACAATACTACTATATCATCACACCCTCCAGCTGTACTGAAGGATTACATACTAATTTCCCAGAATAATCGAAGTAAATTATATTATTTACGGTGTTTACTGGTATATATGGAATCCTAAAAGTTCTATTTGAAATGTCTAAATACACGTTAAGAAACAAGAGGAGTTAATTCCTTGTGTTGTAGTTCATGTTTGATTCACATTTCAAGTTTAGTTACCTAAGAAACTAGCTCTGGTTATTTTTTCTGTCAACAAGTCCGTTAAAGGAAACACCACCAGATTGTTCAAAGTTTGAACTCTCCCTCTACCTACCAGGCAATCTGTTGCTAATGACTCTCCAGATGTTGTTGGTGTGTTTCGTTGCTAATACTTACAGTGTACCTCAAGGAGTTCGGTATAGATGTTGCTTGAAAATATGCTTGCTAGAGGCCGGTAAAAATTAGACCACCTGTCACTTTTTGTTTGGTTTCATTTTGCCCACTGGGTGCATCATGCAACCGTGTTGGATATTTTTAAGAGCAAAAAATATAGAAAGCAGTAATTAATTAATCTTACACAGCTAAATAAGGAAGTAAAAGTACAGAGACGCGGTGCCTCGGACGACTGAAATAAACATTAGGGAAGACACTATTCCTTTACATTTAGACACCCCTCCCCCACCCCAAACAAGTCCCATGGAAAGTAGTCAGAGAGAACTTTGACAAAAACAAATGGCCTTGTTAGAAAACCCTTCCCAAGACCTACTTTAAAAAAAATTTTTTTTTTCCTTTAAAGTTAATGCTTTTCTCCTTTCCCCAAAGAAATGGAAATTTCCGTTTCAAGTCTCTGGAACATTGAGGCTTCAGAGTTCGTCGTGATTTCTTACCTACACCATGCCTTTAGTTTTCGTTACAATCGGTCTAGAAAAGACTTTTGCTTTTTCTGAGCACAGTTTTTTGCTGTCAGTCAGGTCTCTCCCTTCATCCCCGCGGCCACCTCGGCCCACCGCGGCCCTGGGCGTGGATCTGGCAGGTGCGAGGCCGAAGCGCTGGGCTGAGAAAAGAAGGCCGAGTCTGCACAGAGCGCGCCGCGGAGGTGGCAGCGGCAGCGGTAGGCCTGGCCTCCCGAACTTCGAGAGCCTGGCCGGGGAGCGCTGAGGCGGGCGGCCTGCCCCGCCAAGGCCGGGGAAAGACTAGCTCCGCGCCAGCCTCCTCTCTGCCTTCTAACAGTCAGCGCCGCCGAGCCTCCAAGGCCCTGCGGCTCTCCGCACCCTTAATTAACAAGCCTCTTTCCCCCCACCTCGGTCCCCGCCGGCCTCAGGACTGCTCGGGGTTTCACGTCGCAGCCTCCATTCCGCCCGCCAGCCAAAGGAGGCCAAACCCGGCTTCGCCGGGCCGAAAGCCGCTCCAGCCCCGGCCTGGCCGCTGGGCTGGCGGGTGGGAGCCAGCGCAGGAGACAGCGAGGGAAGCGGAGAGCCGGGAGGCGGGAGAAAGGGCGCGGGGCGGGGGGCGGGGCGAACCGGGCTGAGAGCTCGAGCGCCACCAGGGCGGAGGGCGGGGCGTGGGCGGCGCCCGGCCTTCCCGCTCCCGCGGTGCTGCAACTCCGCCGAGCCTCCTTAAAACTCTGCCGTTAAAATGGGGGCGGGTTTTTCAACTCAAAAAGCGCTCAATTTTTTTCTTTTCAAAAAAAGCTGATGAGGTCGGAAAAAAGGGAGAAGAAACCGGCACCGTCTCTGCAGCGGCAACAGAAGCAGCAATTGTTTGAGCGAAAAAAGAAGCGAGGGAGGGAAGGAAAATACCAGAAAGGGGCACGACGCGCAAGTGTCTGTAGGGGTGAAGGCAGCAGAGACCAGTGATTTGGGGGGGACAGCTACAAAAGAAACTGTCACTGGGAGCGCTGCGGCTCGGGAGGAAGCGGTGCTACCCGGCTAGGCTCCTGGGCACAGCTGGCTGGCGGCCGCTGCCCTATCGGCGGCACAGGCTGGGGGCACAGGCCAGGGGACTGCGAGAGGTTGGCGAAGTGGCACAGGGCGCCGAAGCCGTTGAGCTCTCGCCGAGGGCGGAACTGGCTGCGCC